TAAATCATTTTTTGTTCTAACTAAATACTTGAACTTGTCCCTTAGATGCAAGTTTTTTTTAAAAGATCAAGTTTGTATATATATTTTTAATTAATCTAGGGTAAGTACAAGGCAATATCTATTCAATAATAACTTTCAACCATTTGACATTGAACGCTCATACCCCTAATATTCCTATTGCTCGAACTCAGGATCTCGGGAAATAACAACAATTCTTTTATCACTATGGTCGCTTAGTTCGTGTCAGATACCTAAATAAACCAAAGATATGTATAAATGCCAAATCAAAACTAAAACTAAGTTTAGATACCTATCCAAACAAAAAAAAGGTAACAAATTTAACATTGAACTCTAATTAGTAATTTCATATACCAAAATATATATTTATCAAATTATATAATACTTTTGAGTTAATTGCATCACACATTCTTAAACTATAATCTTCATTCTGAATTATTCCTTTAAATTTTGAATATTTCAATTCAATCCTCAAACCATGAATCTCATTCTAAATGAATCCTTAAACTTTTGAGAATTCCAATTTCATTCCCAAACTATAACCCTCATTCTAAATTGGTCCCCAGTTTTTGGAGTCTTCCAATGTCATCACCAAGTTCATCATAATATGTAATTAGTTTCAACCATATATTAAAGTAAATGTTGTTTTATTTTTTAAAAAATACAATAATATAGTCATGCCTAATGATTTTATTAACAAGAATGTGAGTAGCATATACAGATAAATTTGAATGAAATTGAATGTTCAAAAGTTTGGAGATAAATTTAGAATGAGGATCATAGTTTGTAAATTAAATTAGAACATTTAAAAAATTGTGGATTGATTTAGAATGAGAATCATAATTGAGGAATACAATTAGAATATTTTAAAGTTTAAATCCTAATTTAAAATAAAAAATATATAATTTGATGATGTATGAGACAATTAACTTTAGGGTAAAGTACACAAATGGTCCTCTGACTATAAGATACTGCCTTATTGAGTCCCTTAACTATTAAAAATTATAAAATGGTCCCATAACTATAGGGAGTTGATTTGTTGAGTCCCTCGATTATTAAAAAAATAAAAAATAGACAATTGACTATTCAATATGTCCAACTCGTCATTTTTCATTAAAATTTTAACAACAGACTGAATTGTATACTAACTTGCTGACTAAATATGCTAAAATCTGATCTTATAATCTCAAATGACTATCATATCACAACCAACATGTTAATGTTCAGCTCAGACGATCGATAATTTTTTTTTGGAAAAAGACGAGTTTGAAACATAACGAATAGTCGAGTTACTATTTTGTAACTTTTAATAGTTGAGTGACTCAACAAAGCAATTTCTAATAGTCTGAGACCATTTTATAACTTTTAATAGTCAAAAGACTCAATAAAATAGTATCTTATAGTCGAAGACCATTTGTATATTTTACCCTTAACATTAATTCTTTCTAGCGCCTTGCTTGATAATTTTACACAAGAATTCTCAATGTTAGTGTGGAATGAGGATGGTAATAAAAATCTCAATTATTTAATAGGGAAAAGCCCAATAGTTAACCGTCAGGTTTTGACCGTAAAGATACGGAGCGTAGATTTTTTAGACTTGAATATATATACGCTCGTTTTAATTATTTTAAAAATAATTATATATATTAGTTTGTATTGTAGTTATATTCTCAGATATTAATATATTAATATAAATAAAATTTGGTTATTCAAACAATAAAATAATAATTAATTTGGTAGAGGGATTGGACCGTACTGCTTGACTTTGAAATTTGAAGACCTTCAACGGCCTTCTCTAAATCACATGTTCATAATTTGGCCAAAAATAAATTTACACGTTCATAATTTTTATTTTATTTATATATAAATACACGTCCTCTAACCATGTAAATGTGATGGGGTTGAGTGGATTCATGTTTGGATTTGATTCGGATAAATTTTTTGGGTAAATTACGTGTTTGGTACTTAAATTATTAGTTTTGATTCGTTTTAGTATCTAAACTTTTAGTTTTTTTCTTTCAAAACCATACCTAAAGTTTATTTTTTTTATTTCATTTTAGTACCCCTATCCAAAATTTAACAATTTTGAATTTTTTGAAAGTTTAGGTACTAAAACGGGCTAAATCTGATAGTTTAGGTACTAAACGCATTAAATTTTTAACGGAGGGTACTAAAATGAAACAAAAACTAAGTTTTAGGTATGGCTTTGAAAAATTAAAAGTTTAGGTACTAAAATGGACCAAAACCTATAATTTAAATACTAAATATGTAATTTACCCTTTTTTTTGAGTCGAGTTTTTTATTCAATAGTATTTAATACTTGTTTATTCAACACTCATAACTATAATTTAGATAATTCATTAGAGGATCTTATATATATAAATGCCAATGAATCGTTAATTTAAAAACATCGAACAAAATATTAATATAATGACTCTTGATAAAAAAAAAATGATATTAAAAAGCATAACGTTCTCAATAGTTAAAAATTATTATTATCCATTGTGATTCTAGATTTGAGCATATTGTATCTCAAGAGTATGAGCGTTCACTGTCAAATGATAATGGATGTTCAATCATCTATTTATTTATTCAACAACTTTAAAATGATATAAAACTAAACAATTTACACGTTCAGTCGTCTACTTATTTATTCAATAATTTTAAAATGATATGAAACTAAAAAATTTACAATGCGTGGACGAATATTGTTTCTTTGTCACGATACATGTGTGCATAAATATTTATTTCCTAAATAATAGTTTTTAATTATTTTATTACTTACATATTATACAAAAGTATAGTAAAAGGAAAACGTTATTGTAATAATATTTAGCGTCGGGATTCACTTACACAATGTAAAACTCTTTAGTTTTATACAAATATATGATCGTTGGATGAGTAAAAATAGATTACTGAGATTGACTTATTGTTATTTTTCCAGTGAATATCTTCTCATTTCTTACTGTTAATCTATTTTTTTAAAAATAAAAGAGTTTTACATTATATAACATGATACTATCCATAATATTTTTTAACGAAATTGGTATTCTATTATTTCATGATACGAATTCAATCAAGACATAATACGAATAAATAAATAATTATATATTTCACGGTTAATTTAAATTATTCGAAGTCAAAGCATATAATGCCCAATATGAAAAGCGAAAGAGCCGTGGACGTTATATGCTTTCATTAAAAATTAAACATTAAACATGTTCAATGACGCATCACATAACTGGATAAACTATATAAATTTGATTAAAATCGAACGAATAGAATCAACAGACTTTATATATAAAATCTATGGTGAAGTAAATAAATGGTCTCCGACTATAAGGTGTTGCTTTATTGAATCATCCGATTATTAAAAGTTACAAATGGTCTCTGACTATATGACGTTATTTTTTTAAGTCTCCCGACTATTGAAAGTTATAAAATGATCACCTGACTATTCATTGTGATCCAAGCTCATACTTTCCCGTTAAAATATTGATGGGAGTTTGAGTTGGACGTTAACCTACTGATTGAGATATGATATAATATGAACCCATAATCTCAAACGACTATCATATCTCAGTCAGTAGGTTAATGTCCAACACAAACTACCATCGATTTTTAACGAAAAAGGATGAGTTTAGAACATAAAGAATAGTCGAGTGATCATTTTTGTAACTCTTAATAGTTAGGGGACTTAAAAAAGAACCATCCTATAGTCAGGGATCATTTTGTAACTTTTAATAATTAGAGAACTCAATAAAATAATACTCTATAGTCGAGGGAACATTTGTGTACTTTATCCTAAATTTTATATATTTTAAGAGGACTCAAAAAAGCGTTGTACGTTGAAAAATTGTAAATAAATACCATCTAAATGGTGCTCATACTCGAACAAAGATTCATAAACATCAGTTCGTTATAAAAGTTACATTATATGGATAGAGAAAGTTAATAAATTAAAGGGTAAATTATAAAATTAGTCATTTTCTTCTAAGTTTTGTTCATTTTTTCTCGTTGAATTAAATAATCATAATATTTGATTGCTTTTGTTTTTTATTTTATTAAGATGTGGTCACATTTATTTTTATTTAATTAAGATATGACCACTTACCTTATCGGTTTTGAAATATTTGGTCACTGAAATTTTGACTATCGTCAGTGATGAAAAGTGAGGAAATTAAATAAAAGTGATCATATCTTAATTAAATAAATATGAAAGTGACCAAATATCATGTTTCTTAAATTAAGTGAAAAATATACAAAGTAACAAAACAAAAACGAAAGTTGAATCTTATAATTTACCCTAAATTAAAATCAATATATACTACAATATTATAAATAATTATAATTAAATTTGAATAAAAATTTAAATAATTAACTCAACTCAAATAATTTAAAAGATAAACTACACATTTAATACCTAAACTATTAATTTTGGCTCATTTTAGTATCTAAGCTTTCATTTTTTTTCAAAACCATTCCTAACATTTAGTTTTTGTTTCATTTTATTAACCTACCATTAAAAACTTAATGTGTTTAGGACCTAAACTATTAGTCTTGGTCCGTTTTAGTACCTAAACTTTAAAAAATTCAAAACTTAACTAAAATGAAACAAAAACTACAATTTTGAACGAGGGTACTAAAATGAAACAAAAACTAAACTTTAGATATTATTTTAAAAAAATGAAAGTTTAGATACTAAAACAGACTAAAATTAATAATTTAAGTACTAAAACGGATCAAAACTGATAATATAAGTAATAAATTCATAATTTACCCTTTAAAAAATAGGAACTCTCATACTCAATCCTTGCATGCAATGTCCTTTGATTTCATCTATAAAAGCGCCCCTCATTTCCCATAATCTCTACCATCAAGCACCAAAGAGCCAAAGAATCTGCAGGTCGACCGTACAGCCATATCGACCCAAAGAAACATACAACAATAAGAGCACAAACAATACAACAAAAAAAAAAGATATGTCCTGTCCCCAAGCAAGAAGGTCATCCGATTTGGTTTCTAATCGTGATGAATGTCGATGGGTGATAAACATCCGTTCGTTCCTCGACGAAGAAGAAGATGATGGTGATGGTGAAGGTACTGAAGTTGTGGCATCGATCCACAGTGTTCCCAAAGCACTGATTTCGAGTAACCCGGAGTTTTACACCCCACAAATGGTTGCTATCAGCCCTTATCATCAATGGCGTCCGGAGCTTTACGAGATGGAGAGATACAAGCTGGCCGCCGCGAGACGGGTCCGGAGGCAATCACGGCCGTCTCGTGTTTCGTTCCCAACTATCGTTCAACACCTGCAGAAGCTCGAGCCGAGGATCCGGGCCTGTTACGACAAGTACTTGGACGTCGACGGTGAAACTTTGGCTTGGATGATGGCCGTCAACGCTTCGTTCTTGCTCGAGTTTCTTCGAATCCAAGCCTGTCGTGAGGAAATGATCATTGGTCCGATGATGTCGAAACTGGTTCACGACTCGATTCTCAGAGACGCTGTGATGCTGGAGAATCAGATCCCGTTCTTTGTGCTGCGAAAGGTGCTGGAAATCCAATACTCGTCGTCGGAAAAAGCCGATGATATCACGGTTTCGATGCTAAAGGAAATTTCCGGCGATCTCTCCCCTTTCAAAGCAATGGAGATCAACTTGAAGAAGATCGATGTCTCGAGATGTCATCATGTTCTGGATTTTCTCTACCAAATGATTGTCCCTAACCTTGAACAAATTCCACCCGAATATTCCGAGCAAGTCGTCGAATCGGAAGAACAGAAGGAACACTTACGCACAGATGAAGAAGAAAGCGCTAATCAAATGAAACAGCTCTTGATCGAGTTTTGGACGACGCTTTCGAAAATGACTCAGTTCAACAAACCATTCCGGTTCATACTCAATTTTCCCTGGCAAATCCTATCAAACATAGTGAAAGCGCTGGAGAAGGAAGACGATAATTCCACGGTAGAAGAGATCACAATCCCATCCGTATCCGACCTCTCGAAAGCCGGCGTCCGTATCGTCCCGACGAACGGAAACATCTCGAGCATCAAATTCGACGTAGAGACGGTCACATTACACCTTCCGATCACCTCCATCGACGATAACACCGAGGTCGTCCTTAGGAACTTGGTGGCATACGAAGCATCGTACGTATTAGGACCGCTCGTTTTCGCCCGGTACACCGAGTTGGTGAACGGGATCATCGACACAGAGGAGGACGTGAGGCTGTTACGAGAAAAGGGTGTCATTCGGAACCGTCTGAAGAGCGACAAGGAGGCCGCCGACATGTGGAACGGGATGAGCAAGTCCATCAGATTAACCAAAGTGCCGTTGTTGGATAAGGTGATCGAAGACGTTAACAAATATCACAATGGTACATGGAAGGTTAAGCTCAAGAACGTGTTGAAGCACTACGTCTATGGCTCATGGCGGTTCCTCACGCTGCTGGCCGCCGTCGTGTTTCTGTTCCTCACGACGTTAGACGTATTTTGCTCGGTTTATAGTTGCTCTCGGCTCTACGATATCCAAACCTCCGAGTGGCAAAATTAATTGTCGCGGTTCATCTCTCTTCGTGTAGTAATAATAGGGTGAATTATACCGAGATCATTGAATTATGTTAAATTGATTAAATCCTTAAATTAAATTTATTAAATTGTTGTAAAATAGTCAATAAAATTTAATAAATATTTTATAATTTTTGAAAATTAATTATCAAGATAATTGTTTAAACATAATTAGTTATATATGTTTTAAGTTACTCATAATAATATAAATCAAACATAATTATTGTATCTTAATTCATTTGGTAAGGTTGATTAAACGAAGGGAATAATCAAATGATCGATGAAGAAGATAAAAATGTGTTAAAAGGTAGAAAAAAATATTTTACAAAGACAAAGAAAAACGTGAAATAAAGGTAGAGGAAAACGTGAGTTATTAGAAACAAAAAAAATAATAATAAAGAAAAATCAAATATGTGATATAGAAAATAATCGACTCTTCATTCTTTAGAGGTCTGAGCTTAAAGTATATAAATATATATATAGGATAAAGAATGAAAATGGTCCCTCAACTATAGGGTAAAGCTTTATTAAGTCCATCGACTATTAAAAGTTATAAAATGGTCCTTCGAATACATAGTGTCGCTTTGTTGAGTTTCTCGACTATTAAAAATTACAAAATAATCACCCGACTATCCATTATGTTCTAAACTCATCATTTTTTCGTTAAAAATGGATGATATCTGAGCTGAATGATAACTTGTTGACTGTGATATGAAAAAAAGACTGATCATAAAATCTCAAATGACTATCATATCACAATCATCATATTAACATCTAGCTTAAACAACCGCCATTTTCTAACGAAAAAGGTCGAGTTTGGAACATAATGAATAGTCGGATGGCCATTTTGTAACTAATAGTCGAGGGACTCAACAAAGCAACACTCCATAGTCAATGATCATTTTGTAACTTTTAATAGCCGAAGAATTTAATAAAGTAGTACCCTACAATAGGGGACCATTTGCGTTCTTTAGCCATATATATATTTAATAGTTTTAGTTATGTCAGTTAATTTTAAATTGAATTAACCAATAAATAAATTTTAAATAAATATTCATCCTTGATATTATATATATAGTTTTAATATTATATATATATATAATAGTTTAATTACAACCGAAAAATAAACATTCATATTAAAAGTTATAAGAATGATCCTTGATGTTGATTTTTAAATAATAAACATTAATCTAAATAAATCTAAATATTATTAGTGCTTTGATATCATTGTCACGTAATATTACTAAATTGCATTTCATTTCAAACAATTATATATATATAAAAAGCATTATGATCAAACACAAGATTAGTGTGCAAAATTAAATTTACATTATAGATTAAGTGTCAAAACAGAATTCTTAGATTTCAACGACCTACAGTGACTATAATAGTTAAAACAAAATATTTCATTTTAATTTAACGTGTAATATTATCATACATGAAATTTAATTATATTTTTTTTTATTAATTTGGATAAGTGTAATATAATATTTTAAATATAAATCTCAACTATTTGGCATTGAACGCTCACAATCTTAGTATTCTTGATGCTCGAACCCGGGACCTCAAGGAATAAAAACAATTATTTTACTACCGATATCGTTTAGTTCGTGCATATTTATAAAAAAATAAAATTTGGGTACTCATTTGAATTAAAAAAAAATTAAATTTAAGTATATGATTGAATAAAAAATTATACAAATTAAATTTAGATATATAATTAAATAGAATATTAAATTATACCTTAAGTTTAAATTCATATATCAGACTGTATATTTATCCATATAATTTATGTGGTACCAAGTACCTTAGATAAAATAGTAAACGTCTAATTTTGGTTTAGTCCTTTTACTATGCCAAAAATATAAATTTTGTCCATATATATATATATATATATATTGGTATCTCTCGTGTTCGTTTTACCGTCCATATTTAGGTTCGTAGTTGCTCTTTCCAACCAGGAAAGAGCTATAATAAAATTTCATTAAAACAAATATAAACAATAACAAAAAATGAGTCATACCCTAATTATTAAGTACTCAATTTAAAATTTGAAAATAAAGTGATCTTATTCTAATTATGCATTTAGTAACTAAACTATCAGTTTTGTTATGTTTTAGTATCTAAACTTTTTTTTTTCAAAATCATACCTAACGTTTAGTTTTTGTTTCATTTTAGTACCCACCATTAAAAACTTAATTTGTTTAGGACATAAACTATCAATTTTGATCCATTTTAGTGCCTAAACTTCATTTTTTTCAAAACCATACCTAATGTTTAGTTTTTGTTTCATTTTAGTACCCATCGTTTAAAAACTTAATTTGTTTAGTACCTGAACTATTAGTTTTGGTCCATTTTAGTACTTAAGCTTTCAATTTTTTTTTCAAAACTTAACGTTAAATTTTGAACATGAGTACTAAAATGATACAAAAACTAAATTTTAGGTATGATTTTGAAAAATTGAAAGTTTAAGTACTAAAATGGACCAAAACCACGTAATTTACCCTTAAAATTAATGGGGATTTAAGAAGTATTCAAACTTAAAAAATAGTAAGAATAACGGCTTAATTTATCTAGTTTTGAAATTAAGAGGGGCCTAAAGAAAATTAACCTAAAAAGTTAGAGGGCCAAGACTTTATTTATCCAATTCCAAAACTAAGGGAATCAAACGAGCAATTAATTTATATATATTAATTTATTAACATTACAATGATAGAGGATCAAATTATATCGAATTAAAGGGACTAAACCAATAAATATACCAAGGCAAATTAATCGAAGGATCATCAAATTCTCCGCTGTTCCCTAGTGTTGGCTAAAGCTTTACTGATTCATTTGCAAATCCGATGGCTAAAGCTTCCATGGAGATAGAGGATGGCCAAAACGATGTTTTTTTTTATCAATATACCACATATTGTTTTGGGTAAACTACACTTTTAGTACTCCAATAATTATGATCCTTGGGATGAGGTATCATGTGATGCAGGCAGCTAAAACATTGGTGAACAAGGGTTATGATCCTGAAGTAATCGATATCATGTCTTTGAAACCGTTCGATCTTTATACCATCGGGAACTCGGTGAAGAAAACTCACCATGTTCTTATCGTGGAAGAGTGCATGCGGACCGGTGGTATCGGTGCTAGCTTGACAGCTGACATCACCGAGAATTTTCATGATTATTTGGATGCTCCGATTATGTGCTTATCTTCACAGGACGTCCCTACACCGTACGCCGGAACATTGGAGGAATGGACCGTCGTTCAACCTGCTCAGATTGTGACGGCCGTCGAGCAACTCTGCAAGTAGTAGCAGAACCAATGATTGCATAGGCAAAGTTACGTTACTCTTGCATAGGTCAAGTAATTATATTTAAAAAAGACTGATGTATTTAGTTTTGGATGAAGTAAACTAGAGATAACAGAATGCAGATAGATGTACCTTTATACGATAGAGAGGAGCAGAGAATCCTTCATTGAAAACGAATGAATCATCATCTTCCACATCCCTCCCTATCGGAAACTGCAGCACGCGAATTCAAACCGAGAAGGAAAAAAGAAAACGGGCTTTGGAACAAAGAAAAAGGGGATTTTCGGCATACCTTTTGCAGGACTCGTACTTTCCCGCATGCAAGAGACTGCAAGGTCCTTCTCAATTCCTTATCCTCTATGGAAGTAGAGTCCTTGATGTCTTGGAAGCTAAGCTTTTCGGCATCATTGAACAACATCAGAACTACAGTCTAGAGGGTAAACGGCAACAAAACGAGAAAACCGTCAGAATATATCAGCTTGGAAAACAAGGGTCGACGGGACACCATGGTACCAACATGAAAAAGGGAAACTGTGAGCTCCTTTTTACCTTTGGTAAAATCGGCTTTCAACACACAATGACCTAACGAGTTTTGCCACATTTGACGCCTCCCGCTGTACTCACTTAAGTAGAACTCCTTAAAGATGTCCTGTTACACCAGCTAGAATATAGCTTTAGATAATTTCTTGATAAAGGAAACTTCCAGGTGTCTATAACAGTGAACGTTTCATACTGAAACCAGCATCAAACCTGATAGACATTCAATTCGTGAGGAAGGCGAAGAACCCTAGGTGGATATGTCGTCCGGTACATGTGAAGCTCAACGGCCAAAAGAGAATTGAATTCCTAAACATAACTAAGTAATTATGCAGCTATGATTTAATTGATATAATGATGAAATATGATTTACCTAGTTGTTAAAACAAGGACGCTCATCTCAATTCCCGATGGAAACTTCGTCCTGGCCTGCAATAACTGCAAATGACAAAGAAGGGCTAACCTGACGAAGGTAAATTTAATGGTTTTTATTGTGAAAACGAGGATGCAGTTCAAAAATAAAATAATCTCCAAATGCAAATGACAAAGAAGGGCTAACCTGACGAAGGTTAATAAGATACTCAAATGCACCCCTAATGTGGATGAAAAGTGTCTCATTCTTGGAAAAGCTTTCTTCCCAAATTGAGTCAAGCGACGCCTTGAATTCTAACAAGAAAGGCACCATGTCCTTGTCTTTATCTTCATCCATGACCATGACCTGCCCAGCTTTCCGAATATACAAATTTATGGCTCGCCTGAGTAGTTCAAGAGAATTGACCCTTGAAAACAGCAAGTACATCCTCCGGAGGTCCTCAATACAGTGTCCATCCATAAGCATTGTAAATCCCTACAGAAACCCGTGAAATTATAACTACAGAAAGATACAATTCCTAGCAGGCATACAAACAACTGAAGATTCATATTCATACGGTCATACCTTATCAATAATGGCATGTATATGGCGTTCAAGAAGTTGCCTTTCCACCGTTGCTATTAGCTGCTTTCTTGTAACAGCATCCAGGTAGAGTAAGCATCTTTCATGTTCTTCATGTATCCCGGTCTGCAAGAATGCAACTATAATCTTAACAAAGATAATCCACCTAAAAATCATAAGGGGATACCCCATGTGTATTCCATATAAAAATGGACTAATATGGTAGATTAACATTCTTATAAGGATGAAACATGTACACTTCAAAATACAGATCCCTAGTCATTGCTGATCGAGAACATAAAATATGAGAAGCACCTCAACATGCTTCAGGTAATCTGGAACATCATATTGCTGCATGTATTTTGTTCCTTCAGCTGCATAAAACTCGGACGTGTGTTCCAGGAAGGGCTTCTCAAAGCTTCCTGAGTAAATGCCTAAAGCAGTGAACATCTTCAAAAGAAAAAGAAAGAAGAATATATATATATATATGTATATGTATATATTTCATATCAAACTTCATTAGAATTACCTCTCGCTCTAGATCATTCTTAAAAGACCAGTAACAGTTTTGTGCTCAACTTCAGGAGCCAAAGAAAGATGTTTACCGTAGAGATGCAAGCCCATGTCCCACAATGAACGTACAGTTGGGGTTTGTTTAACATATATTCTGTCTAGAAACAAGGCTATACTGCGAATCATCAACATTTGATCACAAAGATCTTGCCAACATTTCTCAACGAGTGATAAGAAAACTACCAGATCTGGGCTTTGTCCAACCAAAGATCCTAGTCCCACAGACATATGTTCTTCGCACTCTTTTTCAATCCGTTGGTAAAGCCTTCCTCCTAGCTTGTGCAGGCAAAGATTGTTAACAGCCTAAGGGAAACATGTACAATTATCAAAGAGATAATATCAGTCAAAACGCAAATGGATAGTAAAAACAGCATTAATGGCTGATAAAGCTTTTCCATGTCACAAGAATCTGGCTGCTTCAAAAATATAGCATTAATGGCTGACTTCAGCTTCGCCCACGTCTCATCCTCGAAATTTGCAGGTAAAGTTGGTTTTGCTACACAATATGTCACAAGAAATTAAAGCTATCAGAGACCTTTTACCTTTCTGTGTATACGTTCAAATCGCATTTTCCATTTTAGAGCTGCTCTTCTAGTTCTCTACATTAGTATACACAAATAACATAGTTTTGGAGATACAATCTGATTTGCTACAAGAGGAAAAGCATACAAAAGTAAACCTTAGTTCAACATTCCAATAACCTAGCCTGTTTAGCATTGGGAGTATCATTTTCTTGGACATTAAACAAAGCATTAAAGCTTATACCAAATGAACAATATTTTGAGTTGTTTAGACCTTTTGGGTTGTCAGTTTTGTATCCCAGTCGGCATTTCAACATTCGTTGTCATCGTCGGACTTGATTAGTTACATGCTCTGGTGGAGTTTGAGACTGTGGAAGCGGCTGAAAAGGCTGCAAGTGTCAAAGAAGTCATTAGTCTTTGTAACTGATGTCATGCTTAAATTTTTGATGAACTGATTTGGAGCACCATTTGGTATTTGGATTAGGTGGCTGCTTTGAACAATGAACATGACCGGAGAAATGGCATGCATGTTAAGCTTCTTGAGCGAACGGTAATAATTATTGTTTCTTTTAACTTCTCTAACTTAGGAATGAACTGTTATTAATACATTTCCATGTTATAGGCTAAGCATGGGCAGCGAAAGCAAGCACGGAAAGGAATTGTTGTTCATTTCGGTCTGTTGTAGATGTATTCTTCTCCCGCGAACGAGGAAAACGGATGGTTCTACCGGCAGGCACCGGTGACAACCACGGATTTGAAGTGATTCAGATTTGAAGGTATTAATAAGACAATTAACGCCCTTTTACATTAATAAATAGAAAGTTTTCTTTTTTGATATCACTTACATGAAGTTTTGAGGAAAGAAGCACCCTTGGTGATGCTTGGCAAGGGCTTGTTGCTGGACCTCAACATATTATAAACCCAAGCACCCGACACTGCCCCGACGATGGGCGATGTAAGATAAATCCATATCCCCTTGTATCGATTCCACACAATTGCAGGCCCCAAGCTCCTTGCTGGGTTCATCGATGCTCCGGTTATCGGCCTGTCGAACCCAATTAATAACTAAATTCGAGTGTCAAACATAACTAACAAACTCAGGTATCCCTAGCTCATCGTGACTGACTCAAAGCTTGACTCGAACCCGAAACGGAAAAGAGGTTAAAAGTTGGTTAAGAAAAGGTAATACCCAGCAAACAACACGTTAAGTACCACGATGGAGCCAACGGCAAGTCCTGCGAGTTCTCCAACCTGTATGCATACGAATATGGAAAGGTAACAGAATCAGAACTTATTTTTTGTCATTTTCAATATTACAGATAAGATTACAAAATGATTTGATTAAAATGCTTAAAATTAGGCAAATTAATCAGTGTTATAATAAATGACATTTGAGCCACAAATTACAATATCAATGAGAAAATCACATGACGAATTTTTCTGTCTAAAACTGTCATTTAACGTCGTAAGAGATCGCTTATTGGATAATCATTATACGTTGCGTAACGATTGTAACATTCGTAACAAATATCGTCGTAATTTAATATTATGAATGAGATGATGATGGGGAACTTACAGCCCTATCATCAGTGGCGACACCGGACACAATGAACATAAGGTAGAAAGTGATGATGAACTCGATCACGAATGCTTGTAAGTCCGACCCCCGTGGCGACGTTCCAGCAAAGACATCAAGCGGACCTCTAAACAGCAGCCGGAGGGTCACGGCCGCCATCGTAGAGCCGATAAATTGAGCCAAAATATAAAACGACACCTAAATCAACAAATCAAATCAAATATAATCATAAATACGTGATCAAAAGTATACAAAACGGCGCCACTTGCCTGTTTGATTGGGAATCTTTTGCAGGTTGCAAAAGCAATGGTGACCGCCGGATTAAAATGGGCGCCGGAGATGTGTCCCAATGAATAAACCAAGACCGTCACGGCTAAGCCCCACACCACCGATATTCCTGGCAGCGACACGACCTTGTCGTTGTTGACGTTGACAACTACGGATGCGCAGCCGGCGAATATCAGAAAGTATGTGCCCAAAACCTCCGCCAACAACTGCAAATTATAAATAACAAAATCACCATTTCTGTTTCTTGAAAACAAAAGCATTAAAGCAACATATACACACACACACACACACACCTTCTGAATGAAATGTGTTGAGAAGAACACGTGAGATTCTTTGGTAATGGCGGATGATGGAGGAGGATTTTGACCATTGGGTTCATCTTTGACATTCAAAATCGAAAATGCATTGGCTCCATTGATCTCGGAGATTTCAGCCATGGCCGAACTTGGATTGTATTAAGAAACTCAGGGAAGAAGGAGAAGAAGATGAGTGGAAATGAAGTGAAACTACAAAGTAAAAGGACAGAAAACGATGCAATCATGCAAGTCAATCTAAAACATTCACCATTTACCAGAAGTTTTTTCTTTTCTTTGGTTTAATATACAATTTGGTGCTTGAATTTGTTACTTTCATTTTTGTTTAGGATAAACTACGTATTTATTATCTAAACTATTAGTTTTAGTATTTTAGTACATAAACTTTTATTTTTTTTAAAATCATACCTAATATTTAATTTTTGTTTCATTCTAGTACCCCACAGTTAAAAATTTAAAGCGTTTAGTACCTAAACTATCAATTTTGGTCCATTTTAGAACCTAAACTTTCAATTGTTTTCAAAACTTAACGTTAAATTTTGAATAAGGGTACTAAAATGAAACAAAAACTAAATTTGAGGTATGATTTTGAAAAAATTGAAAGTTAGGTATTAAAAAGGATCAAAACTGATAGTTTAAGTATAAACACATAATTTACCCTTTTGTTTATTTATAAACTATTTTTATATTTATAATTGACACATTTGGTACCCAAAATTATTTATTGTTGTTTTTTATTTGATACTTATATTTGTCAAAATATTGAATTTTGACACATATATTTGTTATGACAAATATTTCAAAGAATCTAAATTTCCCATTGTTGTAATTTAGAACAAATTTAAATAATTTAATTTAAAATGATTTATTTTATTACTTTAGGTTTTTTAACATCAATTATTTGTATGATGCATGAGAAATAAAAATATCAAATGTGTAATGTTTAAAAAATATTTATAAATATTAAATTGGTTCAAAGAAAAATACAAGTACTATGTTTGTAAAAGTAATAAATTCAGACATCGAATATGTAATATTTGATAAAGATAAGTATCAAATGGTAATTTGCTCTTAAACCCCCTTAAAATCTTAAAATTATATGTTGATCCCTATATACATACATAGAAATGTAGGATATCAAAACATTATTACTGATGTTACATTAAAACGTTTCATATCATTTTCAATACAAATAGGATTTGAAACAGACTGTCATTATCCATATGAATTCGAATTATTTGGAATGTACTGAAGTACGGTAAATTAATTAATGCTACAATAAATATGTTAAAAATTTTAATATTTGATTAAATAAATATTTTTTAAACATTTTATCGTTTTTGTGTTTAAAATGTTAATAAATTTTAGGGTAAATTACGTATTTAGTACCTAAACTATTAGTTTTGGTATGTTTTAGTATTTAAACTTTCAGTTTTTTAAAATCATACCTAGCGTTTAGTTTTTGTTTCATTTTAGTAACCCGCCGTTAAAAACTTAACGGACGGGCTCGTCAACCGTCGCATCCATCGGCCGATGAAGCCCAAACTTTCCAGCCCACACCTTTTTGACCCCCTGAATGTGATTTCAACCTCGGTTTTATTGGAAAATGCATCAATCTCCCCAAAGCGACGATGGACTATTTGACTTATTCATCCTTCGATCTCCGTCATCAACTATTCGATGGGCCTGAAACTGGACTAAGTTGGTCAACTCGTCATTCTCTCATGATCCATTGTACGGAGTCAGCCTGTCCGTTAAGTTTTAACTGAAAAGGTACTAAAATGAAACAAAAACTAAAGTTAGGTATAGTTTTAGAAAACATTAAAATGTTAGATATTAAAATGGATCAAAACTGATAGTTTAGATACTAAAATGAATCAAAATTGATAGTTTAGATACTAAATATGTAGTTTACCCTAAATTAATTTTAATTGTTATGTTGTGATTATATAAACCTAGTTTTGAACTACATGTATCTTACATATATTTAGACATGATACGAGAATATGACCTTTGAAGAAATAAAAGCAAAGTCACTGAAACTTTAGATAAACTCAAACTTACATAGCTCAGCAAATCAAAGAGTAAAAAAATCAACAAAAGAATAAAAAATAACAAAAACTCAGATTATTACTCATATCAAATTTATCAAATTAACTCAATTTCATTCGCAAACAGGGATGGATTCAGGGGAGGTGGTGGGCGCTCGCTCCTCCTCTAAAAATATAAAATTACATATATTTTAGATTTTTTATGTATATTTTATTAAAAACCTGTTTTCGTCCCTTAAATTTTTTAAGTTAAAGTTCGTTCCCTGGGTTAAATTTTTTATTAAAAACGTGCTTGTCTCAAAAAGTTAAAGTTCGTTCCTTGAGTCACTATAAAACGACTCCTAAATCAACCAAACAAATCAAATCAAGCTTTGAATAAGATCAAAACTAAGGTTAAAAGAACCATTTGCCTGTTTGAGAGTGAATCTTTTGCAGGTTGCCAAAGCAATGGTGATCCCCGGGTTAAAATGGGCACCGAAATTTGTAGTAACACCTTTAGACTAATACGGGTGATCCGATCCAATTTGAGGTGTCACATTAAAACTACCGAAGCGACCCATGATAAAAATCCATGAAAATTTAAAATTTTTGTTAAAACATGTAAAATCATAAAACAATTTATAAATAAAATACAAGTTCAAAAAATCATTCACATATTAAAATCAGAATTGAAATCATACAAGTTGCAGACTCATAATAAAAGTCCACTATGACTTACATGCCTCCAATTACACTTGTATCGTACTCTGTCAGCAAAGCTGAAGGAACTCCCACTACTACTGTCGATACTGTACTAGATCAATTCTTTTAACCTGAAATGGTAAGCAACAGAGTGAACTATGGGAAACTCAATAATTCAAAACTACCAAATGATGCTGAAGGACATGTAGATAAATGACAAGCATAAATGTCTCATTGGTTTAGGTATCTACAAGTTTTCATGATAAGCTAGGGCTCCACTGATATTTCTTCAGGTAAAAGATAGGAAGCTTATAGTTCTGAGGACTAGATTTTGAAGACAAAAAACATGTGTCTAATGTGTTCCCTCAAAACCATAATAAAATGTAATCATAGCTTAAAAACAATAGTAATTTATTTTAAAACAAGTTTTTAAAATCATTGTATTACTTTCCACCCACACTATGTGAAATATCCCAAAACATACATTCATAAGGACTAACCCAAGACCCCTAGGGTCTAAGAGTCCAATATGGAAGATCAGAACAGAAAGTAATTACCAGCTAGCTGAATCTTAGAGACTCCATCCTACCCAATCAATACCCCACTATAAATCAATTTAACAGTAACCAGTCAGAGATCATGAGCCAAATATATTATATATCAGAAAACATAAATCAGAAATTAGGTTTTTATTTAAAGCACAAAGTTACCCTCCAACCGTACACCAAATGCAAATCCCTAGAACAGACATCCGTAAGGACTTACCCAGAACCCCTAGGATCTAGGAGTCTAATATGGAAGATTAGAACAAAAAGAAATTACCAGTTAGCGGAACCTCAAGTCTCTAGACACCTACCTAGATAGTACCCCAATTAAACATATCAGATAGTAGACAAATTACAAGCCAATTGTACCTTGTATCAGAAATAAAAAACTAGAGTTCGGAAACAAGTAGTTAGAAACCATATATCAGAAATTATACTTTATATAAAAAAGATGCAACTTATGTAAATTGATCGGATTTTCAGGGATGAAGTCTCTATTAAAAGGGGTTGATTACTAACGAAACTAATGAGACATTCAAAAATTGATGTTTCAAAACCATTTAGGATTTCAGGTGCGTCAAAAAGGTATTTAAGAACCTTATGTCAATTTTTAAGATTCGAATATAACAGGCATGATTCCATCATTTAAGTTATAAGGGGTATTTTGGACATTTTGATTACTGGAGGATTCTTAGTAACTTGGTCCAATAAGGAAGGAAACGATAATTTACGGAATTCATGATTCCTGTAGATTTATCAGGATGTCGAGTCAACTCGAACTGAATAAATCTCTACACTACGATACCTGTCCATCATCCTGACCAAGATACCTTATGAACGGGTCTTATGATGGCTTGGAATTATGGATTTAACAATGTGGATTGTGAAGTTGATGCTACAACTACTCTCCAACTAATTGAAAGCGGCAATACTTGGATTCACCCACTGGGATCAGTGATAGAGGAAATTTGGAGCATTCTTGCTCGTATTTGGTATGTGATGCTTCACCACACGTATCGGGAAGGAAACTTTTGTGCCGTTGTTTCATCGAAAATGGGCTGCAGCCTCACTGAGGAGCTTGTCATCTATGAGTCGCCTCCGAGAGAAGTTTGCTCCTACTTCGATGCCTACATGAGGGGTGTTATGTATCCCAGAGGTTTCACTATTGCTTAGTTCTCCTTTCTCTTTGTAACCAAAAAAAAAAAAATGTTTGATGTCATTTTCAATACAGATAAGGATTTGAAACAGACTATCAACTATATGAATTCAATTTGTTTGGAATATAATATGGCAAATTAAACAATGCTATAATAAATAAAAGGATAAGTTACATGTTTAGTATCTAAATCATCGGTTTTGGTTCATTTTAGTATAACTTTAAAAAAAATTAAAATCATATCTAACGTTTAGTTTTTGTTGTTGTTTCGTTTTAGTACCTCACCATTGTGATTTGCACGTGACACCTTTTTTAGGTAAATTGTATAAATAATCACTCAACTATCTTCTCATTCCTATTTTGGTCACTAAAGTTTAATTGTTTTTAATTTAATTAGTTAACTTTCAAAATACTCCTAATTTAAGCATTCTAACGTTCAAATATATTTTTTTATTTTAAACTAACAAAAAATAATAAAAAAATCACGTCAAAAAAATTATTGATAAAATAAATTAGAGTGATTAAAATAGGAGCAATTTGAAAGTTGAGCAATTAAATTGAAATTTTTTAAACTTTAGTGAGCAAAATAGGAGTAAGAAGATAGTTAAGATGAACAATGTAATTTACCCATAAAAATGCAGTTAAGTTTTTAAAAGTACTAAAATGAAACAAAAATTAAACATTCAATAT